AGGACTTAGGAACATAGGACATAGGAATACAGGACATAGGAATAAAGCAATTAGGAACACAGGGCATAGGAACACAGGACATAGGAATATAGGAATTAGGAGCAGGAGTAGGCAATTCAGCCTGTCGAGCCTGCTCTGCTATTTAACATGATCGTAGCTGACCTTATCTTGTCTCACTCTCCTGCCTGCTCCCCATATCCCTTTGCCCTGCTTTTCATTAGAAACATATTTCAGCATTAATAAATGCATTTCAGCATTAAATTTTTCTTTTAAATGTGCCCTCCTAGTCCTAGACACCTCATTGAGAAACTGTTAATGTACAAATCTGAGGCCACTCAGCCCCTCAAGTCCGTTGTGCCAATCTATAAGGTCGTGACCCCACCTTTATCCCAAATTTCTTCATGTCTTTGTTTAGCAAAAATCCATCCGCCTCAGTTTCAAAATTCACAGCTGACCTAGCATCAATTGCCATTTGCAGAAGAGAAATCAGAAATTTTACAAAATAGAATTTGCCTCAGTACAGGTAGGGGGCTGCTGGTTTGGGAAACCAAACGGTGGAGAAATTTGTGGGGATGACATTTGGCATTGCATTAATTGATGCCACTGCTGACAAGAGTATTTGGCTGCTATCGGAGCTGAGGTGACAGGGAGCAAGAAGATTTACTTATGTAATTGTACCAAATTGAGGCTGAGTTTAAAATGTAGTTAATAATTAGTTCAGCGAGCTGTTCATCACGTGTAACATGGTGGGAGATACTTTATCTTCTTTGTCTGAGGATTAATCTATTCTGATGAATTCTTTCTATTTCTGGCCTTTAAAATCATTTTTCATGTCAGTGCGGATGGAATTTTGTAGCAATTCCCTGCTTTTATAAATTATTTAAGCAATGGGCACTCTGGGGCATTCTAGCTACAGGGCCAGGAAAAGATTAATGATTTCAGAATCTTCATAAGTGAATTTTTGTATTATGGAAGGCTTGATATTACAACTAACCAAGTTTTCTCCAACAGCATCTTCCAAACACATGATCTTGAGCATCTGAAAGGACAAGGGCAGCAGATACATGGGAGCACCACCCCCTGCAAGTTCCCCTCTGAGCCTCTTCCTGTCCTGACTTTGAAATATAGAATCATAGAGTCCCAACAATGTGGAAGCAGGCCATTTGGCCCATCAGCTCCACAACCACCCTCTGAAGAGCATCTCACCCACCCTATCCCTGCATTTCCCATGGCCAATCCATCTAGCCTGCACATTTTTGGACTGTGGGAGGAAACCCACACAGACACAGGAAGAATGTGCAAACTTCACACAGACAATACCTGAGGCTGGAATCAAACCCAGGTCCCTGGCTCTGTGAGGCAGCAGTCTAACCACTGTGCCACCACGTCTACCAGCACACATCACCCTTCCTTCAGTGTCACTGGGTTGAAATCCTGGAACTCCTCCATCCCAACAGCATTGAGGGGTTACCTACACCCGAAGGATTTCAGTGTTTAGAGTCATAGAGTCATACAGCGTGGAAGCAGACTCTTCGGTCCAAACAGTCTATGCCAACCATAATCCCAAACTAAACTAGTCCCACTTGCCTGTGCTTGGCCCATATCCCTCCAAATATTTCTTATTCATGTACTCATCTAAATGTCTTTTAAATGTTGTAACTGTACCCACATCCACTACCTCCTCTGGAAGTTCATTCCACACACAAACCACTCTCTGTGTAAAAAAAATTGCCCCTCATATCTTTTCTCAACCTTTCTCCTCTTGCCTTAAAAATGTACCTCTAGTTTTGAAAACCCAACACCCTCCCCGAGGGAAAAAACATCTGACATTCACCTTATCTATACCCTTCGTGACTTTATAAACCTCTTTAAGGTCGCCCCTCAACCTCCTATGCTCCAGTGAAAGAAGTTCCAGTCGATGCAGCTTCTCCTTAAAAGTAAAACCCTCCATTCGTGGCAACATCCTGATAAATCTTTTCTGAACCTTTTCCAGCTTAATAATATCCTTCCTAAAGCAGAATGACCAGAACTGGACACAGAATTCCAGAAAAGGCCTCACCAATGCCCTGTACAACCTCAATATGACATCCTAACTCCTATACTCAAAGATCTCAGCAATGAAGGCAAGTGTGTTAAACGCCTTCTTAACCACCCTGTCTATATGTGACACAAATTTCAAAGGATTATGTATTTGAACCGCTAGATCTCTGTTCTAAAACACTACCCAAGGCCCTACTTTGAGTTGTATAAGTCCTGCCCTGGTTTGTTTAACCAAATTAAACTCCATCTGCCACTCTTCAGCCCATGGACCCAATTGATCAAGATCTATTTGTAATTTTAGATAACCTTCTTCATTGTCAAGAAGGCAGCTCACCACCATCTTCTCAACGGCATCTAGGAACGGGCAATAAATGCTGGTCGAGCCAGCAAAACCCATTAACTTGTGAATATTTCCGCTACTACATGCAGAATATTCAAATAAGTATGGCATTTATTTTTAGCAATTATTTTATCAAAGATCTGCAATTAAAATTTTTTGAGGGGGGGAGTAATTTTATTTCTACTTAATGAAGTAGACAATAGCAGCTATTACAGTCTGGTGTAGCAAACAAAATAATGATCTTGGCCTTTGCTACAAGCAAAAATTATGTTCAATTGTAATATAATTTGCATTTGACCTTTGCATTCCTTTATGCTGCAGTGCACAAATGCATCTTATTAATGAAGACCGAAATAGGGGCCGAGGAGGGGCGAATTGTACTACATCAATTCTCCACTTTTTAAATGGAGCTTCTTAGCAATGAAGTGGCACTTTTATCTCCTCTTTAGTGGATAGTGTCAGC